GTGAGTTTCTTTCATAAAAATATCGGTAACTAATGGATGATTTTTTAGTTATTATGTACAGTATTATGCTCTTCCAAATATATAAGTGAATAAATAATAAAATTTTATTTTTTTATTCAAAGTCAAAAGGATATTATTTTAACCAAAATTTAATTCAGCAATAATTAAAAAGATAAAGTTGTTTATTAAAAAGTAGGAAAGATTATATCTAATAAAATTTTTGTTAAAAGAATCAATTGCATCATTTAAACATTGATTATGATTATATTAGTAGGGATAAAAATAGCTTTATTCCGCGGTTTAGAGATACGAGACAATTAATATAAAATAATACAATCGAATGTACGATTATAGAGAAAGTGCGACCTCGTTTGACTACATCGTTCCCCATATTAGTCATAGTACAGTTCGATCACACGGGAATAATGGTAGAGTTCGTATGTACCATCATGAGAGATGGGGGATGCACCCTCGAGAACCGTGGCTTAATTCGAGGAACCATGGAAGCGAATAATCATGGGACAAGAATCGAGACGTCGTTCTCTACCATGTATATAGCCGAGTATATGTATTTTTACTTCCCTTACATCGCGTTCGCACAATGCGCCTGCGTAGGAGCATCCACTTTATTTTCGGTGATCAACGAAATCCCTTCCAGAATTAATTTTGGCGCCAATGAGGCCGTATTTACGCATAGTTTCACGGATACGTGGAAAATTTTCGCGTTTGTTCACGCAAATATTTGACTCCACCTATACAACAATTTTACACTAAATTATGTAAGATGAAAGAAATTGGGTACAAATAAAAGGAATTTTGCTTATCATCTGGAAAAAATGTCGCTGTAGAAAGTCGTTAAAATATTTAATTCTCGATTAGCATTGGCAATCAATGCAAAGGGAAAATATTTTCGTAGCATCCGGATCGCTATCCGTGCCAGTGAAAATGAAACATCGCACAATGACTCTCTCTCTCTCTCTCTTGTGAAAATCTATGATAGCTTTCATATCGATTACAATAGCTTCCGTTATGTGTTCCTTCCAATCGAGAAACCGGGGCGTTTCAAACATTTAGAGTTACTTTCAATAACTGTTCATAAAAAATTTTTACATTTATATTTAGCGCTGTAGGAGCTTCAAATATATAGGATGCGTCTCAAAATCATCTGTGTTTTAATATCGATATCTTTTAGGCCATATTTGCAATATATTATTTTTTAGTCAAAATTAGAAATATGTTTTTGACATTCAACATTAAAAATTTTAATACATTAGTTTCAATACAGATCAATTAAAAATTGAAATAAAAAGAAAATCGTGTTATTTATTGATGTTTCTGAAGCTCTATTTGTTAAAATTGTTTAATTCTCAATTTAATTAAATGGCTCAATTTAATTAAAAAACAAGGATGACTGAAATAATTTCCGTTTCCCTAAATTTATTCTACATTTTAATAAATAATTTTTAGAATTTTTTTTCAGAGAGAGAGATTAAACAATTCTTAAAATATTAAATATATTTGAATGTCGAATAAAGATTAAACAAAATAAAAATAGAGAACTCATTTTCAATGACGTTAAAAAATGTCTCACAATTATTGTGCGTATCTATGATCTAACCAAATTGGCTCACAAAACGTTGGCGGAAAATAGATTGTAATACAAATCAACACGATCGTTACGTGCGACGACACTTTCACTGTGTATCTTTAGAGGGATTCGATGACTATTTTCACATCGCCGACGGATCTTTTCCACATCGTAACCGTCCAAGTTAATGAGAAACACGTGTTTACCACTATATTTAGTATTAAGTCTAATAGGAACATCGCTCGGGGGGTGGGGGAAAGATAACCAAAGGGTTGTCACTCGGAAACAAACGGAGGCGGCGGCATTTAAAAGCGCCATCAGTTTCGGCAATGCCGATCGCGGCATTTCGTTCCTCACGAAGCGAACCGCGTCTAGCCGCGAACCGGAACCACGAGGAGACCGACGTGACCGATTGGGCATGCTATTTAAGTGCGATATGTGCAGGAGGAGGAAGTGCGCAGGAAGTCGAGGAGGAAGGGTGTGCGGGCTCTCGCAGGCGTCGCGTGGCCTTGCGCTATAAACAACTTTCAGAGGTAAAAAGAGGAAGAAGCGCGTGGCACACAACAGAGAGGGTGACGCCTTATGGAGCGCGCCTAATAATAACGCAAATATGTTCATCGTTCACCGGCAGGCAACACACATCGAGGGCATTCGCGTGCCCTCGTCGTTACACGTGCAATACTTGTCGCGCATGTCCGTTTTCTTGCACACGTTCTTTCGCTCTTTCC